TTAGGGTTTAGGGTTTAGGTATTCCTGGCACTGAATATCTTGACGAAGAGAAACGTGATAATGACATACTACACGCAATATTGGCGATGGTGCCGATGGCAGCAGGAGTGGCTGTGCTGGTTGTGCCATATTGACCACACGAGTACTCGCCGGCTTCATGCGAAGGAATATTGCGATGACGTCGTGCATAACTCAAAGCTCAGCAGCGAGTGGAAAGTGCAGCAATCGCGAAAGCAGTGGCAGCAGGAGCACGGCTGGGATTCAAGAGAAGGTGGTGTTTGGAGGCAGCTACCGCAAGCAATTGCAGGGCGGTGCTACTGACAATGCAAGAATTCGAGACAGTCAGAAAGCAGCTGAGCAGTGACCTAACAACCCCCACAGCGCTAGGCTAATCCTCTAATGTAGGGGCCTTAATAATTAGAATAGGGTTTTGGGGCCCATTATGCTTTGTTTTATATTCGGGACCCCCCAAAATAATATAGGGAATTTATTAAGACACCTTTTTAAAGCCTCGTTAACTCGGATTCTGAAATCCCGTTCTCCAAAACTGGGCTCCCGTGTTCTTTCGAAAAAGCTCCAGCCCTGACTGCACCTTGGCATGCCCGATGTGAAGGTAGCCGCTGGGCTCCGGCGGAAACCTCGTGCACACCTGGAAAGGGTTTAGCTGGTTTGGCCTTAAAGCCCTCTGAAAAATACTTATATAAAGGGCCCGTTACAAACCCAAGTAAGAAAACTACAAAATGTCGCAAAAACCAACCTAGTTTGGGTTTAGGGTGAGGCTCGTGCACACCTGGCAAGCTCGGAAATATCCTGGAACAAACTAGTCAGAATTAACGGGGCTTCAGCGCATGTCTGGCAGGTCCACGGATACCTGGATACTTGTACCCAACGATAGAAACCAGGAAAAACCTGGTTACGCAAATAGCTCGCAAGTCGTGACTGAAAAAACGTCCCACCTTTGCAAATCAAGGGACCCTTCTGTGGCTCTCTTCATGTGACTTCACGTGTGTCAAGCGAGCATCCTGCCCCACAGGAATTTGAACCCCAAACTCTGAATTGATGTAAGGGCCTTGATGATTCGAATAGGGTCCTGGGGTGTATTATACTATAAGTATATTAAGGAACCCCAAAATACTATTGGCAATTCTTTAGGCTTCCATATTAAACATCCGAAACTCCCAAGCCCTGGACACCAAGCTTAGCGCGTGCGGCTTTGGGTTTAATGATCCGACCCAGCGAGGTCACACCCTCGACGAAAACTCCCCAAATCACATGTACTGTTTAGGGCTTAGGGTTTGGAGTTTGGGCTTTAGGAGTGTAGCGTCTTGATGGAAAGAAATCGGGCTTTGGTGTACATGATGATCTGCGCAGCCGGCCTTGCCCATTTGGGCTCCAGGCAAGAGGCCTTCAAGCTTAGCTTGGTCCTGACAGGTTTAGGGTTTCGGCCGGGTTAGGGTTTAGGGTTTAGGGTGCTTCGTTCTGATGATAAAACTTGGGGATAGAAAGGCTCCGGCTCAACATGGGCGCCTGAATACTTTGTCATCGTATAAGGCTCCTTCAACATATGCTTACATAAAATAACATAATTTCCAAACTTCTACTCTACCTATGGAGCAACTTTGCCAGCCTAAACCCAGTTATGTCCATCATCGACCCAATTCTGCGCCAGGGCCGGCCTTGAACTCACTGTGACTTCCACCACAAGATGCATACGTACGTTGACATGCGTACAACATACATGCAGATTGCGTGCGGCATCGATGACTCAGGATTGGGTTGAAATCTCACTACCGAAGAGTTATACCGGGATGTTAAAGGAATCGTTCATTCATTCACGAGGCTCCCGACACCGGGGAGTTGCTCTTTGGGCATCACATGGGGGTTTCCGGAAATAGGGGACCCTAAATACTAGGATTCTTATTATAAGGACCCCAAAATAAGGTACCTTGTTTTCAGAACCCCCACATCTGTTGCAACTAGACCCAAAGGACACTCAGTACGCAGCCAGGTGCGATGCGAAGCCAGTGTAGCTTGTGATTAACTACATGGGTTTAGGGTTTAGGGTTTAGGGTTTAGATGCGAAGCCAGTGTAGCTTGTGATTAACTACATCGGCTACCAAGATTTTGTTGGATGTCGGGTGTGGCCTTAATAATTAGAATATAGTTCTGGGGTTCCTGATTATAACCATAGTATAATAGACACCCCTAAAAAAACTCCATTCCACTTGTTAAGGCCCCTATATTAACGTGCTCTGACAGCAACCTCCTCAAGCGACGCAACTCACTAAACCCGAAACCCTAAACCCTAAACCCTAAACCCTAAACCCTAAACCCCAAACCCAAGGCGTCCTTGCCCTTCTCGCCCTTTTCGCCCTCCTTGGAGCCAGCCCCAGCTCCCTTGCCGGCCTTGCTTCTTCTTTGTCTCGGGTCTTAGGGATTCAAGGGCTTCCGGGTTCCAGTTTAGGGTGCAGGGTGTAGGGTTTAGGGCTTAGGGCCTAGGGTTTGGGGCTTAGGGTTTAGGGTTTGGGGCTTAGGGTTTAGGGTTTAGGGTTTGGGATTTAGGGAAGCGAGTTTAATTAGGGTTTCGGGTTTAGGTTTCAGAGTCTGACGTGGACGGTGGGTCACAGAAAGGGTTGAACGGCTTTGAAGAGGGCAAGGTGATCTACGGAGTTGTACGATACGTTTGAATGTTTCAAGGGCTGCCAAAGAAGTAATCATGCTTGCGAACTCGCTCCATTCTGCTCACGTAGCCTTTTCGTGGTGCTTGATCCCTAAACGGTTTAGGGTTTAGTGTTTAGGGTAAACCCTGAACTAAAATCCTAAACCGCTTGGGTGGTCAGTGGGTTTCGTGCCTTATTGTACTGTAAGCTTTTTGAGTTCGGAGCAGCTCCAGGCTGGCAAGGGTTTCGGATGCCATTTTCTAGCAATAAGAGGGTTTTAAAAAAGAGTTTACGGTTTAGAATCTCTACCCGGTCGTTAGTTAGTTGTTTTGGCACTGCCATGTCCGTCATGTCAACAAAAAGGCTTCTCGCAATGCTGCGGCTTTGGGTCGAAGACTTGCCCGCTTGAGGGAGCAGGGAGCCAGCAGACCCGAAACGCGAACATCAAGCCCCGAACCGTAAACTCTGCATCCGAAAATCCTAGCACCCATGCCCCTAAACCCTAAACCCCCTCTAGCCCACTAGGAAACCCCAACTCTCGATTTGGCCCTAAATCTTGAGACGCCCACTGAGACTGGCTGACTGCCTCCAAGCAGAGACGGAAAGTGCCTTTGACCTGTAAAACTTAGAAACTTCGTGACCTGTAAAACTTTGAAACTTCGATGGACTTGGGGCTTAAACCTTACCTAAACCCTAAACCCTAAACCCTAAACCCTAAACCCTAGCCATAAATCTTAGGCTAGACACTGAGGGTTCAGGGTCTTACGTAAACCATACGACGCCCCAAACGCACAAACTGAGAGCACGGCTCCTTTGGGCCACTGCTTGTAGGGCAGCTTTTGCTTCAGCGCTCGCACATGCATGAGCCAACCTTACGGCTTGGAGTGTGAGTTTAGAATTGGGGTTTTATGGTTTGGCTTTTGGGCCGAAGGTTTGGGGATATACCTTCGTGAGAAGGTGATTGATGTAAACCTGATTAACCCCCAGGGCTCAGAAGACTCCCACGCGGGAGATTGCTGGTAGCCCCGATTCCCTGTGGAATCGCCCAATGGGAAAGGGAACGCTGTTTGCCACACAGTTTGGCAGATGCCTTCTGTGTGGGCATACCCGCTGGCCGCAACATACAGATGCCCTGAAGGTGGACCTATCCGATGCACATGTGCCACCTGCTTGGATTCAGAGCACGGCAGAGTTTGAGCATGATGGCCCCCAGGGGAATACGTGCCAGGATGACCCCAGCATGTCTTGGGCATGAGTTCACACGCAGGGCAGCCCATCTGACCTTCCCTGATCTTGCTTTCGGTGATGTCGAAGGAAACCGCATTGGTCTCTTTGGGTTGGTGGCTGTTCTGGTGAGCAGGAGTTGGTGCAGATTCTGGCCTAACCCACTGCCTTTGCTCGTGGCCGATTCGTGTTTCAGCGGCTTAGTGACCTGGATGAGCGGACTTGCAATGGAAGTCAGTGGCGTCGTAGCTCCACTGAGCATCGATGTGGATAACAGCTTTTCACCAAGATGCCTCATGATGTCTGCCTTTCCAATCCATGCTTTGATACTGATGTATATGAGGCAGATGGCTCGGAGCGGCCATTGGCTGCCCTGCTAGCTGCTTCGTGCCTCGATGGCCATTGGGAGTCATTGCCTGAGGTTGCTGGGATTCCTTTCAGTGACCTGCAGTGCCTCACCTTCGCAGACCAGCAGTAAAACGAGGGACATGCCGGTGTCGACTACAATCTGCAGCTGGTTGACGTGCTAGATGCCGAGCTTAGGGATGTAACCAGCACGATCAAGAGTGTTAGTGATGTGCTGGCTGGCAGCTTGGAGCAGGGAGTGGTAAAGCCTGGAGAGATGAATATGGCGCCATGCAGCTGACGCCGAAGAGATATACCCCATCAAAATGGAGATTCTGTTTTTCAGATGTTCAGCTTGGTTGGTTTGGAGTGTTTGGCTCGCACTAGGTGTTGATCCAGGTGGTTTTACGGATCCTGTGGGCCACGATCTTTCGCGTGAGCGCGCCATCTACACTGCCTCGCGCTTCGTGCCTGCCTGCGACCAGGGAGTCGGTATGTGACCCTAGACC